AGCTTAGATTCCACGAACAGAGGAAGTGGGGTCTTGGGTCTACGTGTGTGGGCGTGGATTAAAAAAGAGGAAATGGAAGAAGTTGAGGTGAGGGAGATGATGATGAGGAGAGTTGAGAGGAGGAGGGAGAATGTTAAGAGTAGGAACCAGCTTTTCTTCTTGTGAAGCTGGAGCTTGGTTGCAGAGGTGGAATCCATTGTTTTTGGGGTTGAAGAAAACAATGGGGATTATCAAATCAAAAGGGCATGGAGTTTTGATGTTTGTGAGTGACTGTGTGAATCTCTTCTCTTTCTCTCTCTCCTGGAAATGGAAATTAAAGCTTCTTCTTTTTTTATTATGACAGAAAGGAAAATTATAGGACATGGAAAAGTTATGGGAGGAGGGAAGGCAAATTCCTGCTGCCTGTCATTTCCTTGTGTGAAATGCACGCGCCTTCCATAAAGGAAAAACCAACTTTTTTTTCTTCTTAAACCTGACTTCTCCAACAAAGTTCAGGAAGACATGATCCTCAATTAAATTTAATGTTTTGTTAACGATAAATTGACAACTTTAATTTATTTGTAAAATAATATATCCATCAAACTTTTCTTTTTTACTGGATAAACTGAGATGCTTAATAAGTTAAACAGTTTGTGACTAGTTTCAACTCAATTAATATTTAGTTAAAATTTAATTTATATTGATTCGATTTGAATTCGAACTTAACTCGAGACTTTAACAAGTTGAATTGAGTAAAATTCAACTTGACTCGATAAGTGTGCGAACAACTTGTTAAATTTTGTATAACTTTGTAGTTTGGTGATTGCAATAAATAATGAATGGAATGAATGGATGTTGATTTATTTATTTTTATGATTGATTATGTGTTTTTGAAAAGAAAAAAAATGAGTTTTTAATAGGTTAGTTTGATTTATTTTTGGACTGTTATTTGGTTTTAATATGTTAGTTTAATATATTTGTGGATTGTTACTTTAGAGTTTAGACTTTGAAATTGCTTCATATGTCATTTTAATAATTTTTTTGTTAAAGTTATTAATTTATGTTTATATTAAGCTCTATGCAGTATTAATAGATTTTACATATAGTTAAAAAATAAAGAAAAAATTATGGTGAGCTTGACAAGCAACGAGTCGAACACTGCCCAACTAGTTATCGACTCACTCAATAAGCATCCATATGGTAAATTATACGTTTAGTATCTAAATAACCATTTTTCTTATATATTAAGGTAGATCAAGTGTCTCATTAAAATCTTATTAAAATAAAAATCTTGTGAGAAGAAAATCTTAATAAAGAAAAAAGAGTACACATATCTTTAACACGCATAACTTGTTGTCTCGTTAAAAATCTTACAAGGAAAATCTAGAATGACAAAACCTTTATTAAGAGAAAAAAGTATGTGTATTTACTCTCACTCATGACAATATCACATAAGATATCCGAGTATTATAATTCAATCTTAAATGCAATCTTCAAATATCCAAATAAACAATACAATGATGAATAGATTTGTCGAACATTAACATTACTTTTTTTTTGAAGATCAAGAGGGAGAAAATTTTAGGTAAATATGTTTCTTTTAAGAACCATCTTTTCAATTGAGCTTATATATTATATATTATCTTTGTACAATATAATTGATATCTCATCATGTAGAAGCCAATCACATTTCTTATTGATATGTTGAGTTAATAGTTTTATTTAAATATTTTTTCAACTTACCTCATGCATAATAATTATTTTTGCGTTATTTTTATATGCGTCAAATAATGTTTAAAGATTTGAAGATATTGATCTTATAATACTTAGATACTATTTTTGGACCAACTAAAATGTAGTGCTTCTAGACTAACAAAGATATAGTGATTATAAACCAACTAATATTTGATACTTCAGAGACTAATGGTTTCTTTTTTCTTTTTCTTTTTTTGAAGGAAAATATATTTATTCATACTTTGATATTTTTTCAATTATTGGGGTACTAAATAATTTTATTCATATTAAATTTCTTTAAGATCTTTTTAGTATGTGTCCATTTATAGACAAAAAATAATTATAATTTTATTATAAATAAGTAAAATTTTAAAAAATATATTAACATTTTAGATTCTTATTTTCTAATTTTTAGATCCACCAATGGTAAGATATAATTCGCTGTAGATCACATCATCGAATGTTTCTAAAGTCCACTTGCATTTTAAGTGCCGTCATTGCTTGGACCCTTTATGCTACATAAATTAGGTTTTTTCGATAAATTTGATTTGAAAAAAATAAACTTTTGGGAATTTTTTTAAAACACTTTTAAGGATAAAATATTTATTTGGGCATCAATCATAAGAAAATTTATGTTTTATTCTTTTAGTGTTTGTAAATCATTAATTTATTAAAGAAAATAACATGATTTGAAATAATAAAAAATAAATATTTAAAATTTAATCATTTGTAAATTTGATCTTAATCTAATAAATTTAATTTTATCTCAATATTTCAAAACCTAATCAAATTACCTCATGCTTTGATTATTCTCCTTCATAATTTATCCTTGTTTTCTAGAAAAGATGAGCAATCATCATCTTCAATTTTTGAACATTATCTGGAGTTAATATCATGGACGGCCATTGGAGTAGATTAGAAATTCTTTCGATTAGGTTTGAAATTTCATAAGTTTTAAGATGAACTTATAAAAATCTAAATTGTTGATTCAAAAAATAGAGAAAAATAAGAGAGTTAAAGAAATAGAGTTTTGATTTAAGAATCAAATCGTAGAACCTTTCATTAAAATATCAGCTTTTACATGTAGATTTTGCCGAGAAAGAAAACCACAGTAAGCCCTACATCTTGCCTAATTTTATAATTAATTCGGTAAACACAAGCAGTCTAAGCTCTTTCACCTCTAATCCTCCTAGCAAGCTGGATATCCTTAGGCATGATCGTAACCCTCTTGGCATGGATAGCACACAGATTAGTATCCTCAAACAATCCAACGAGATATGCTTCAGCCGCTTCTTGAAGGGCAGCGACGGCGCTGCTTTGGAACCTCAGATCGGTCTTGAAATCTTGAGCAATTTCCCTCACCAGCCTCTGGAAAGGAAGCTTCCTAATCAACAATTCGGTGCTCTTCTAGTACTTGCGGATTTCTCTCAAAGCCACGGTTCCTGGCCTGAAACGGTGAGGCTTCTTCACTCCGCCGGTTGCCGGAGCTGACTTACGAGCGGCCTTTGTGGCTAGCTGCTTCCTCGGAGCCTTTCCCCCGGTTGATTTCCTGGCTGTTTGCTTTGTACGAGCCATTGATAGAATAACTTGGCGATGAATAAAGCGTGTTTGGCTCTCGGGAAAAAGCGTTAATTTTGATGAGAAAGTTTTGGAGGAAACGGAATGATTTTCGGTTATATAAGGTGGGGAGCAGCGGGAACAAATGAAATTTTAAATATTGTGTTTTGTACCAAAGATTTTAAATAGGTGAATCTGAACCGTAAACTAATTGGTGTTATGGACGGCTGACGTTTCGTTAAATGCGTGATCCTTGTTAGATGAGAAATGACCAATAAGATTCCTTCTTCTAAGCGGTCTTGTTTTGGTTCCTTTCGTTGAGGAGTGTAAGATACGATCTAGGCCATCCATTGACTAAATCGTAGATGACAGTCCGTGGGATGTTTAACCAACCAATGGAATTCACCCGTCACCTTTACTAGAATTTTCATTTTTCTAATTAATTTTTTAGCTGGTAGATCAATATTGTGATCTCTCGTTAGTGTCTTCAATAACAAATTTAAGATTTATTTCAATCATTCATTCATAAATCATTAAGGAATAAATATATTTAGTCGGTTGATTAAACTATTATTTTTAGGTCATGGGTATTCTTTATAGCCCCTCCCAAATATTTTGGTATAATAACATTCTAGGTACTATTTAGTTTATATACAAAGGCTTAATATAAAAAAAAAGGTTCAAACTATATTGTTTTTCTCGAAGAAGTGCTCAAACGTTTTTGTCAATCAATTTAGGTACCTAACTTTCTAAAAGCTATCATTTTAGGTGCATCGATCTTAACGACCGTTAAAAAAACATGTTAAGTGGCACATATCGTGTTCAGGTAATTTTGAAAAATTTAAATTAAAAAAACAACTTTAAAAAATATTATTATATTTAGAAAATAAACCGAATTGCGCATTCAGCTCAGTTGGTAGAGCGCAAGGCTTTTAGCCTTGTGGTCGTGGGATTGAGTCCCACGGTGGGCAATTCATAATTCGGAGGTCTCCCACTGAAGCTGCTCTCAACCTGACGTTGGGGGCATCCTGCTATCCTACCTCCCCCTTATCCTATTACATATGGGAATAAGGGTCAACTAATTTTTTAGAAAATAAACCCTAATTTTGACTCCTATCTTAGTGTTTGAACATGTATTATATGATTGATTTGATGTTATTATGGATTGTTTGAATGCGTAATTGCAACATATATATGATGATTGAATATGTTACTATTTTGGATTGTCTAACTGCATGGCTGCGTATAGGATATATTTTATGTAAAGATCTCCTTTTTTACTTACGTAATAACATAGCATGCATACCTTTTATTTTCACTTAACAATAAATAAGGTCATATAGATGCAGAGAGAAGACGAACTTGTACAATTATAAAGGGACACGACAACAAATTTTCAATAAATAAAATATTTAAAATATATAATAATTAAAAAAATTAAGACAAATTTTAACGAGATGTATTTATTTAGACTTTTGAGCTAGATTGCTTGTATTTACGCTTACCTTAAAAAGCAGATTAACCAAAGCTTTTTGATTAGAACTTTGAAACCTCGTATAAGTTTACACATTTGTTTGAACATTTACTCCAACACAAAAACCTTAGCTTTATATCATTTAGTTAAAGCAACTATTTTAGTCGAACTGATTAATTAAACAATAAATCTAAAACCCAAAATTAATTCATTCGATTAAATAAAAAATACGGAACTGTAACACCAACGGAACATATTCAACAAGTTCTGAGTAAAACAAGATTGATAACATCGTTCATACTAAGTTGAGCTGAACATCAATTCCAGATTAATCTTTTTCCTTGGTTCATAAGAAAACATAATAGAACACAACAAATGCATTTTTTTTAAAGGTCAAACACTAAAAAACCGATGGTGGCACGACTTCATCAGTCAAAGCCTCTAAAGAACAACCACCACATTCCAAGAGGCCTATCACACCGAATTCGAGTAACATAATATCTTTAGATTAGGAGCTTTTCGATGGCATCCTGCATTTCACAAACAAACAACATAAGCGAATGCAAAATCCATGAGTCCTATAATGTTAATGGAACCTTTCAGAAAGTAAAATATACCTTGAGCTGTTGTATTTGCGATTTCAATTGGCTTCCTTCATTTGTTGTGACAGAGCAGGCGATTACGGGTCTTGTTACCCCACATGATCGACCAAGTGCTTGCTTTGAGGGAACAAATACATACGGAACATTCTGCAAATGTTTGAATTCGGAGATTGTTATTGTGTTGCTGTAATCACGGTAAACTTTCAACAACCGCAGTAGAAAATAGAAATGTTTTAGAAATTGATCCCAGACATTTTTGCTCCATGGAATGATGCCAAGGGGTTGTACTTGAAAGATTGCTTCCATAATAAACTTCACATTGAGCTATGAACCATCAAGAATTCATAACTCAAGAACAGAAAACATGTCGGAAAAAAAGCAGAAAGTGTTGTAAAAGAGCATAGTCTTCCTAAATCAAGAAAATGTAAAACAACAACAACAACAATTGAATAGCTACATATTTGAAGGAAAAATTAGGAATATTAACAAAAGAGCATAGTGTTATGAGGAACAAAACATTAAACAACCATTAGCATATCAACCCTAAACCTGAACAAGGGTAGCCTATAACTAATAAAAAACGAAAAAGGATTCAACATGCTAAGAATCCTCTGTTAACATATATCTTTATGCACAATGTGAGTGTAAAAAACAAGCCTTTAGCTACGTTATATTCTCATGTGACGGAACAAATTACAGACAAACAAACTCCATACATGCAGGAGAAAATACCATAAAGAAATCCCACAAACTAAATACCTTATCTTCAGCAAGCAAAGGGAGATGCAACAGAATCTCAAGGGGCTCAGTATCGGCAGCCATGACAACAAACTCCGATATACCTCTGTTTAAGGTCTTAGTTGCTAAGTCCCAACAAAATGAAGAAAATCCATATCAGAAACAAGTAGAAAAACCATAAAAGAAAGAAAAAAAATGAAAAATGGGTATTGACCACCCAAACCTTCGTTTGCTCCCTTTTTGAGCTGCTTGTAGTTAGCAGCTTGTTGAACAAGATCCAAAATCGTGGTCGTTAATTGAGCATCGGCTAACGGGTAGGCTTTGGGATTCACTGGTTCTCCCATCTGCAAAAGGGGGGTAAAAACATTATGAGTCGGTTGCAAAGAATATACAGAGAGGGAGAGACAGAGAGAAGTACCATTTTGGTGTAGAATGAGGCTTGCGAAGTGGGAGAAGAGGCTAGGGTTTTTGTAGGGAGGGATAATAAAATTTAGGGTTTAAGAGAATATTACAGCGGATTATTTATATTGGGTTGTATCCACATTTTCGGCCTAACCTAATTTGCATTGGGATCTATCCAAATCAAGCCGAAGCCCAGATTAAACTAAAATCCAGTCTTCCAAAATTAAGCAATCATTTTTCAATTAAAATAAGCATAATGTTGAAATCAGTCACCAATGTTTTACTAAAATGCTTATTTTTTTTTTAGTATTTTTGTCTCAACATTTTATTATAGGGAAAAAAATTCCCTAACATGATAGAATAGTCACTTAAGGTAAAAATGCCCCTATTTTAGAGCAGTAATCACGTGTTAACTAGCACGAACCAAGTGATTTCCGTGGTAAATGAATTGTTTATATTCCTAAAGACTCGGTTTCGAGCACCATATATGTTAGGGGTGTGAGCGTTCAATGTCAAGAGGTTAAGAGTTATATTTGAACATATATTATCTTATACTTACCCCAGATTAATAAAAAATCATGTGTTAACTATTGTATTCCATCAATAGAAGAGGATTATTGTCCTAAAATAAAACGTTAGAAAAAAAATACTAAAAAAACATATATTCAAAATTACTATTTTTATAATCGTTGAGGGGTAATTTTAAACTGACTTAATACAAAAATAAATGCATAAGTTATGCCTCGAAAAACGTTTTAGTGCTTGAAGAGTTTTATTTGCTAAAAATAGATACCTAATGTTTTCTCCGTTACCATTTAAGTGATCGGGCATTAACGCCATTAAAAATCTTTGTTAATTGACATATGTTATGTTTTTGTAATTTTTGAGAATTTTTATTTAAAAAAAATTAATTTTTTTTAAATCTTATAAAACCCCAAAGCTTTTAAAACTTTAATTTTAATCTCTTTACCACCGCTAGTCACCACCAACGCCGTCAATCGGCCGAACACCCAATGACGTATGACCGGACAACCACCCACGACGAAAACCCTCATATTTTTGCAAACGATCAAACAACAAATCTCCCTAAATCTATAAATTCCTAAACATAAATCATTCAAAAACCTAAAATGAAATATTTCATTTACACCATTTTTGGGTGTTCGATCGGTTGTAAAAGTATAGGGATTTTGGTCGTGGATGGCTGGCCGGTCACACGTCGTTGAGTATTTGACTGATTAACGGCGTTGGTGGCAGTGGGTGGTGGCAACGGGATTAAAATTAACATTTTAAAAGTTTTGAGTTTTTTTTAAGATTTGAAAAAAATAAGTTTTTTTTAAATATATTTATATTTTAAATATAAATTCTCAAAATTACCATAACGTGATATATGTCACTTAACGGAGACTTTTAACGGCAGTTAACGTCTGGACACCTAAAATGGTAACGAAAAAAACATTAAGCACATATTTTTAACGAATAATTCTTTAGACACTAAAACGATTTTCGAGACATAATTTAAGCAATTATTTCAGTATTGAGCCTTTTAAATTAAATGCTCAAAACTCTACGATAACAAACTCATTTTGGGCACTAAAACTGTTAAATCTGACTATTTATATTAAGATTAACATACATATGCTTCTTTTAAAAAGAGAATTTATTATTAAAATAATAATTTTAAAAAATCCATTAATTAGTCGAGTAATTAAAGATGTTGGTATATTTTATGTGGATTTCAACTTTGATATTGATCTTGGGAATATAATACCTTTTATTTAATTAAATCATAATAATAATTCTAAAGTCGGTACCATTGATGTTACTATAATATAGGAATGTATTCTGTTTAGTTTTTTGATAAAATATATATCAAATGATACTGTCTAATTTTTTTTTAAATGAAACTAAATTGAATAACATAAAAATTGAAATTTTCGGTTTGATTTGATTATTCAATTTTACTGTGTTTAACTATTTACTATTTTTAAAACTCAACATCCAAATAAAGCAAGGTGAGCACATAACTTCAAATTCATAAAAAAAAATATTAGTTTTAGGATCTTATTTATTTAGATTTATTGTATAACAAATTCAAAATGAATTTGATTTAGATCATTATTTTATTTTATTTTGGTTTGAATTAGAAAAAAAAAATTTGTATGAAAATAATTAAAATCAAACCAAACTGTAAAGTCAAATGTCTAAATTGAACCATAAAATAAAATAAAAAACTCAAACCAAATTAAACCGCATAATTTATATTTTGGAACTGAGCCTGAGAAATATATGATATACAAAGATAGCATAGCAGCAATCAAAATCAGCTTCTCCATTAAACAAAGCCCAAAAGGTTGTGACTGCCAAAATCTCAAAACACAGCAAATTTACCACATCACAATACACGGACACTGAAATATGTAAAATATCCACAAAACCCAATAAAACTAGATATATCAAATGCATTTCTTATGCCAATATACCATGTTTAATATCAAATGAAGCCATGAAAATGGAGGAGTGATGCAACTCTAGTCCCACCCGCTGGCAACGATCGATCCGTAACCATATGGAGCAGCAGCAGCATTGTGGTTCATGTCACTCGCAACCAAATAATCGTCATCACCGCTGCCAAGTAAAGTCGGAGCATCGACACTAACAGCATCGTAATGACCATCAATGGCAGGAACACCATAAATATCATTGTATGTGCTTGAAGATGCAATATCTTCTCGTAAGTCATAACCGCCAAAATCAACTCCACCGCGTCTAACCCAACCGCCACCACCACTAGCAGAGTAATTCTCAGCATGTTGAACTAACCAAGTTGGGGCTTCCTGGTTAGATTCCTTCATTACTTCAGCCAATGACTTTGCAAGATTGAAGTTCTTGTCACTGAAGAAAGCGGTAGCCAGGCCACATTTTCCGGCACGGCCAGTTCGACCTATCCGGTGCACGTAATCAACAATGTTTTTTGGCATGTCAAAGTTAATAACATGTGCAACATGAGGTATATCAAGTCCTCGTGAAGCAACATCTGTGGCGACTAGTATTGGAGTAGCACCACTTTTAAAGGATCTCAGAGCTTGCTCTCTCTCCTACAAATTTGCATAAAAGGCGATACCAAAGAAATAGATCAGAACAAGCTATTTGTATCATTCCTACTCCTGATTTTCTTAAAATACCTGTGTCCAATCCATATCCGAACATGAATATAGAGATATCAGCCTGGAAAGACGCTAGATATATGGAAAAATTTATAAATAGTAAACAGAATTACTCATACTGGGGCATACATGTATCTAACACACGCCCAAGTTAAAGTAACTAGAAATCGAGGTATAAATTATCATATGATGACCAAAATTACTTCTCCCATAATTGATTCTTCTGCCTCAAGATGCAAACTATATTATCAACACCAAGAGGATTCAGGGACGGAAGCAGAATTTTATGTTACGGAGGTGAACTTTTAAAAATCTAGGTATGGCGAACTTATAAAATTATAAGGGATGAAAACAGATTATCAACAGAAAATACACACACACAAAAAAAGATATCTATAATATATGATAATTTGAAATTTTTCGGAGACAATTCCCCCTCAATCCATCCTTAAGACTTGGAGCATTACCTTTTCCAACTAAGATGACTGTTAATTCCATGAACTTGACATCAGTAACATATTACGTTTAGGCATTTTATGATGGCAATATCAAGACTAATAAAGTGCAAATTATGGTATATAGCTAACCATTTGCACTTTGTCACCATGCATTGCAATTGCTGAAAAACCATTCCTTGACAACCAGCGTTCCAACTCATCTGCACGTCTCTTCGTCTCCACAAAAACTAGAGTTAAAGCATGCTGCAAAACATTAAATAGAATCTCTTTATCAGCATGTTTATAGGAATCCAGTGATGGCATAGCTATAAGCCTGAATAAGGATATCCACTGGGACCCCATCTATACCAGTGAGGTTCTCATGATAATGACATGTAACTTTGTATAACTACACTGCAAAATAGAACACCAATTAAATTGGAAGATGCTAATTGTACCTTACTATGGGGCGTTCCATTGGACCTTTGAGAACGGAGGAGACTCAAAAGATGGTTTCTTTTGTCCATCTCTTGAACTAGTTCCACTCTTTGGACAATCAAATCAGTGCTTGAACCAACCCTTCCAACAGCCAGAAATACATAGTCCGAAAGGAAATCCGAAGCAAATCTCTGCATAATAAAATTAAGGAGTTTAAAGGAAACCAAAAAGAACATTGAAATGTGGTTTACATTAACATAAAAAATATAGGAATTAGACTAAAGCAAAGTAATTAGACTGTGTGTGTGTGTGTGTGTCAAACGCAGGTATTATCAAATTTTCTCAAGATTTTCACATATCTGAAAGGAAAGGATCACATCTCCATTCCAACATCAAGATATGCACCAAACATGGATATTTCGAGATTATCACGTATCATATATTCAATCTTTTTCAAGATTTCAATGTACAAGGAAGGAAGGTCTTCAAGGACCATATCTCCATGCTCACATCCAGATATCCATCGAACACTGTACTTGCCATTGCTCAATTCTGAAAGATAGTGTTGAGATATTAGCTAACAAAGGATAATGGAATAGGATTGAAACCTGAATCTCATCTGGAAATGTGGCACTGAAAAGCATTGTCTGCCTTGTTCCAGGAGGAGGCATGTCCATTTGCTCAACAATCCTGCGAATCTGAGGCTCAAAACCCATATCCAACATTCGATCTGCCTCATCCAGAGCCAAATACTTTATCATTTTAAGAGAAACTTTTGCTCTCTCAATCATATCCACCAACCGTCCGGGAGTAGCAACTAAGATGTCAACACCTCTTTCTAAGCGGCGCAACTGAAAGAAAATATACACATAAACACACATCAAATACCCATGATTTCTGGATATGGGTTAGACAATTTAATGTCAAAAACCCGAACGCTTACAATAATAATAAGATTTTGAATGAAGCATGTACTTTCAGGTCATAGCTAATGAGTTGAACCCGGTGAAGTACCTGGTTATAAATAGACGTGCCTCCATAAGCAACAGCGATTTGAACCCGAGTCATATAAGCAAACTTCTTCGCCTCTTCGTATATCTATAATCACCATTAACAACCCAAATCAAACAATAATAGAATGATATAATATAATATAACATTTCACCAACTCCAAGAGAACAAGAGCAAAAGCAAAAAGCAAGGGTCACCTGACAAGACAACTCTCTGGTAGGAGCCAAAATAAGGGCAAGAGGACACGCCACCGCATTTCCTCCACCACCACCATGGCGAGCTACTAGCAATGTGTTCTTTAAAACCCCAGAAATAATGGGAAAACAGAAGGCGGCCGTTTTGCCCGACCCGGTTTGAGCGCAAGCCATCAAATCACGACCGGCAACCGCTATGGGAATGGCGTGGCGTTGGATTGGAGTTGGCTTAATATAGTTGCACCTCCTTATGTTTAGCTTTAAACCATCCCCCAAATCGATCTCAGCAAAGGTCTTCACCGGCGGCGGTACGTTGTCGCCGCTTGCTTGTACCGGAATGTCCTCATAAGCTTGTACCGGAATGTCCTCATAAGCTTGTAGATTGTTGGTTACGTATGCTTCTTCCAATGTATCATCAACAATTTCCAGCTCGTCGAACTTTTCATCTTCCCAGTTTGGGTTCCGGCGAGCGGTGAACCAGGGTCCACGGCCGCGGCCTCTACCGCGGGTGGATTGAACAGGTTGTGGTGAGTAGAAACGTGAGCGAGTTAACTCGGGGGCACCGGTATCAAGAAAGGCATCATTGCCATTTTGAGGTGATCTCATATGTCGAGGTAGGTACCGGGGTCTAGTTGGGCGAGTTGGTTTCCTAGTTGACTCAGAGAACATATTTTTTTTCTTTAACTTTTTATCTTCCAACTGTAAGCTTGAAAGAAACAAACCCCAAGCGAAGAAAGAAAGAAAGAAAGAAGGATCAAAGAAAATCAATACACTGGGAATATAATGAAACGAAAAGGGTTTTCTGGATTTGAGGAGTCTTTGACAGAAGAAAAAAAAAAGACGAAGAGACTTATAGTAGAAGGAATATTAAAAAGGGTAAACTACTCCAATGGTCATTAATGTTTGAGTAATTTTTTTACTACCGATATTTTAAAAGTTACAAATCGATCATTAACGTTATCGTTTGTTACAAATTAGTTACTCGTCGTAAACAGGCGCGGAAAACACACGTGGTCTGTTATCAGCAGTTAACATGCTTTCTTAGATGGTATAATTACACAAATAGTCCATATTTATTTATATATTCTTTCAATTTGATTCTAGTTTTAATAAATTAAAATATATTTATTTTTATTCTTATAAATAATGATATATTTAAAAAAAAGGAAATAAAAAATTTAAAATTAGTTATAAAACAAAAAACATAACGTTTTTTATTATTAGGGTAAACTAATAAAAACAAAAAAAAATTAACACTTTTTTAAATAAAATTAACATTTTTTCCTCAAATTTTTTTTAATAAATACTAATATTAAAATCTTGTTTGTGAATAAAAAAATTTCACTCGGTGCATAAAATTTTTTAAAATTAATTTTATTAAGTCTTTCATTTTCTGAGCAATCATATAATTTAATTTGTCATTAAATATTTTAAATTAAATTTTATTACAACATAAATTATAAATTTAATTATTATTATTTATATGATGAAAAATTAATAAGCACATAGGTCGTGAGATTGTTTAGGGAATGGACCGAACTGCATCCGAAGTGACTCGTGATGATATTATTGGTGAATATTCCGAGAGCTTTGTAGATTGGGTAACTAATAGAGATTTTATTCTTTCGATAATCGTCAAGTCGAACTAGTTCGTTATAGATTCGTGATAGAATTCATTTCAACCACAAGAAGAAATAATCCATCCGAATGATAGATTCGAGATAATAAAAAATAAATCTGCTGAATGTTTGGCTTTTGCCCGAGGAAAAGTAAAATTTTTAGCTCGTGTTATATCCGATGATACGACCTTATTTACTTTAATCACGATGAATTCATTAGGTGGTGTAAATTGGTGCCTATATTAGAATTTTATATTTTCAGACCACTTCAAGTAATATTAAATTAAAATTATGGATAAAAATTTATTTGGAAATTAAGTTTATTTTCTTGAATCATGGATGAGGGAGGGCTTCAAAAATTTACTTGGTGCCGATGATATCATCACGAGTCACTTGGGATGCAATTTGGTCCATTCCCTAAATAATTTCACGACCTATGTGCTTATTAATTTTTCATCACGTTAATTTTTCATCATATTAATATTAATATTATTATTATTATTATTTTCTTTTTATATCATCACGTTAATTAAAACTAGGATCAAATTAATTTAATAAGATTTTTGATTTGGATAGGAACAACCCTAAATCTAAAAATTGAAAATCTCATCAAATTTCAAAATTCAAAGTAGCCAAACTAAAGAGAATCGAGGTTTAATTATCGGACATCAACTGAAAATGGAGAACGAGAAATAGAACTTTCAGTGATTTAGGAACTATTTGTAATCATTTAAAAGCTGGGGAGCGAGGAGATAGTGTTTAAGTGAGATTTTTTAACTTCATTTGGTTTTTTAGATTTAGGGATACAAAATTATTATTAAAAGATTTATGTTGTGATAAAATTTAATTTAAAATATTTAATGACAAATTAAATTATAAGACTATTAAAAAAATGAAAAATTTAATAAAATTAATTTTAAAAAATTTTATGCACCGAGTGAATTTTGTTTCCACAAACAAGATTTTTAATATTAGTATTTATTTAAAAAAAGTAAAAAAAAAAGTTTGGGAAGAAAAAATGTTAATTTTATTAAAAAAAGTTAATTTTTTTTGTTTTTATTAGTTTACCCTAACATTAAAAAAACGTTAATTTTTTTTGTTTCTATAACTAATTTTAAAATTTTGATTTCATTTTAAAAAAATATCATTATTTATAAGAATTAAAAATAAATATATTTTAATTTATTAAAACTATGATCAAATTGAAATAATTTATAAATAACATAGACTATTTGTGTAATTATATCATTTAGGTAAGTCTGTTAAATGATGTTAACAGGCCACGTATGTTTTCCGTCACACTTGTTAACGATGAGTGACCAATTTATAACAAACGATAACATTAGTGACCGATTTATAACTTTTGAAACATCATTGGTGAAAATAAAAACTTACCTAAATATTAGTGACCATTGAAATAGTTTATCATATTAAAAAAAGAATATGAGAGTTGTTCCTGACTAACGTCTTTGGGAAGGAAACAAGTCAGGGAACAACTATCATATTCTTGTTTTTTCTTTTTTTCTTTTGAGTTCGCTCAACCAAAATTTTATATTTTATTTTTAGCTCTTTATGTTATTTAAAAAATAATTTACTCAGATTCAAAGATTAAAAATTTGTGTTATCCTTTTAGAAAGTATTTTAATTTTTATTCCTTTCTTCAAAAAACTTGTACAACTATTCAAGTTTAGGTTGAAATTTCCTTACAACAATAAATAAAAAAATTCAAGTAATTCAATGAAAATAATTAATTATTATTTTTTGGGCGAACTATGCGAATAGTCCCCTTTGTTTTTTGTCTGACCAACTTTGGTCACTAATTTAAAAATTAAGGGGAAACGGTCCCTAATATTATTGATCCGTTCAATTTTAGTCCCTAACGTTATCGATATGTTCGATTTTATTCCCTCGGTCATTAACTCCCGTTCGATTTTAATCTCTCGACCATGTTAGGGACTTAAACAAAAGGGGGTTAACCGAAATTAATAGCAAAGTTACTTATACCGAACTGACCAATAATGTGAGGTACCATTTATTTTTAATTTTTAAATTGGTGATCAAAGTCGGAAAGACCCTAAACAAAAGGGACTATTCTCATAGTTTACCCTATTTTTTTCCATTACTATTTCTTGAAATGCATAAAAAGACTCATCAGAACATTAACAACATGTTAACTCTCGTTATGAATAGTGAAAAATACATTTTGGGTTACAAAAATGTTCTTAAATCTCTCATAAACTCTAAAGGTATTGTTCATTGTTAATTTTAAATATTCCTAAAACTTTTAGTTCTTTGATCAGATGAAAAATGATTATTTATTTTGTTTTATTGTTTTAGATTATGAACTGAAATTGAATAAATGTCCTTTTATTTTTCTAGGTCATAATTTCGATTGATTCTTTATTTTAATAAAATAATTATTATTATCCACAAATTTAATTTATTAATATTATATCAGTTTTTCCATTAAACAAGAAGATATTATATTTTTTTGGGTTAATATCAATATTTGAACCTACACAAAATAAGATAACATGAGATTTTTTATCTTTCCACCAATTAATAAATCTCATTCCTACTTCAGTCTGAAATTATATAAAAAATAACATTATTATAGTTAGTTCGAATTATAAAATAAGAGGAGAGATCACTAATTCTTAATTTGTATTCTTGTTGACCAAGTTGAATCTAGGTAAGTCTATCAATGAAGAATGATTTTCAAGACCCCCACTAGATGTTGAAGCATTAGTTATCATAGGGAGAACATTAATTTTTTTCTTCTTTTTGTTCTCCTATTTTATCTGAGTTTTACCCTGATTAATTGGTTCCCATAGTATTAGTTCTTAATTTATATTCTTGTTGACCAAGATGAATCGTGGTAAGTCTATCAATGAAGATTGGTTTTCAAGACCCCCACCAGATGTTGAAGCATTAGTTATGAGAGAGGAGAACATTAAATTTTTTTTCTTTCTGTTCTAGTTTCTCTGAGTTTTACCCTAATTAATCCGGTTCCCATAGTATTAGTTCTTAATTTGTATTCTTGTTGACCAATATGAATCGTGGTAAGTCTATCAATGAAGATTGGTTTTCAAGACTCTCACCAGATGTTGAAGCATTAGTTATCAGAGAGGATAACATTATTTTTTTTTCTTTCTGTTCTCCTAGTTTCTCTAAGTTTTTCCCTAATTAATCCGGTTCCCATAGTATTAGTTCTTAATTTGTATTCTTGTTCATTATTAAACAAAACAAAACAAAATAGAATCGACTTTTTCTTTTAGTTAAGCCTTTGATTCCCCAACCCTAGTAAATAATTTCATTCACTTGGTTATTTCCACCGTTGATAGAGAAAGCTTAGAATTCAAGCAAAATTCCAACTGCATGTTTAATTTAAGAAGAGATTTAGAGGGTTCGTTTCCTGCATAGTTAAGTTTTATTACCAAGCAAGGTAAAAGAATTTCATAAACCCTAAACTATTATTTTGTTCATATATGAGTTTTGATTCTTAAGTATTAATGAGTTTTAATCAATTAACTATATTTTTTAATATTAGTAATTTTATAAAAGATTTATCAAATTAATAGAAGATTAAAATATCGATAGTTAATTTTTTTTAAATAAAATAAAAATAATGTTAAAAAGTTACTCAAAAGTTGAGTGTGGGTAGGGTATTGAACGAGTCGATCGCGAGTTGGACAGTACTTGACTTGTGGTCGTTAAAATATTTTGTTGTTTGACTTGATCGTTGCTCGTTAAATTTTTGCTCAACTCGTGCTCGTTAAAAAAATTGTTATTCGTTAAGCTCACAAAAAATTACCTTGTTTTAACTATAGGTAAAATCTACCGATACTATATAGAGCTTAATATAAACCTAAATTAACAAATTTAACCAAAAAATTACCAAAAGAATGTACAAAACAATTTCAAATTTTAAAATTTAGAGTGACAATTCCCAAATACACCAAACTAGTAAATTAGTAAATTAATAGATTAGTAAAATAGTAGTAATTTACCATATTTCTTATTATCTATTAGTAATTATTATTTAGATTTTTAATGGAATATTTTTTAATATAATTACTAAAACTTTATAAAAAAAATAACAAATTGCTCACAAACTTACCGAATCGAGTCGAACCTTGTTCGAATTAACTCATTAAGATCTCGAGTTGAGTTAGTCTAAATCGAGTATTGATCGAGTTTTGACTAAGTCGAATTCGAACAACTTACAAGCTGCTCAACTCATTAAGTACTCTTAAGTGTGAGTATTAGATATGTTTAAACACTAGTTGTATATTTTTATTGATCACTATAATGTTATGTTACCCAATATTTAAGTACGAGAGTTGGATAACAATATCTATAAATATCTATATGATATAAGAATCTTCTTCCTTTTTTCCAAAGTTTTTCTATGTA